GGATGCGGTCCGAGGAACGGAAAAAGCGACAGCAGCTCGATGCGTAACCTTGGCCAACGGTGGTTGGTGAGGCAGGTAGCCGAGCGGACTGGGACGTAGGCGCGTAAGCAGGTAGACGGACAAGAAGCAACGAAGGTGTGTGGGCACCTTGTCGGTGGGGGAGCGGCGCGGTCAGAGTCGGCAGCGGCCAGTTTGTCCCGGGCAGCGTTGCGACCGCGAGGCCACGTCCTGGACGTCCATCACGGTTCTCGTCCGTCCGGTTGGAAGTGTGTGCGAAGATAGCGAACGGATAACATTGTCGCACATCGCTTCCCGTAGTCTCGCCATCGACGCCGACGGCGACGCTGCTACAAGGGCGAGCGAGAGAAAGAGAGAAGAAAAGAGAGAGAGAAAGAGAGAGAGCGAGCGCACGAGAGACGCGAGCTTTCTCGAGAGACTGGCGACATAACGATGGCGACGATATCGACGACTACGACAACGACAACGACGTCGACGTCGATATCGGCATCGACATCGACATCGACATCGACATCGACATCGACATTAGCATTAGCATCAGCATCAGCATCAGCATCAGCATCAGCATCAGCATCAGCATCAGCATCAGCAAATCAAAGCGCGATAACGATGGCGATAGAACCGAGAAAATCTTATCACGAGCTCTGTCGCCTGTGCGCTTCCTACGACGCCGTTAGGATGCACATATTCGGCCAGGAAGGCAGGAACCGTCAGCTTGTCGACAAGATCCAGACATGTTTGCCGTTCAAGGTAAATCCTTTGTTTCTATTTGATTCTTCGGTTATTCGGTTTGCGTCGCCGATATCCTGCTCCTCTCGTGAAGCAGCTCTCTTTCTCGACCTATCCTCTCTTCCATCTCTGTCTCGTTTCGTTTCATGGTGGCGTCCCTCGTTCTTCGCGCTGTCTCTTTCTAAATTTCGTCCACTTTTCTGCGTCATCTCCCTCGGCACTTCGTGGCCCTGCACGATTCGTCCTCGATCTCATTCTTCCGAGACGAGAGAGAGAAAGAGAGAGAGAGAGAGAGAGAGGGGGGGCGGATAGAATCTAAGAAAGAGAGAGATGGGAAGGAGAGAAGCAGATTCACGGACGACCCGTTCGGCATCGACGGGCGTTACTGGGTGAAGGTTTCCTTCCCGCCGCCTCGTCGTCGCCGTCGGCCATCGCGCTCGTTCGCTCACTCACTCATACACTCACTCACTCGCTCACTCGACCGAGCGGCGTCCTCGCTGACGAATTCCACCCGGTGGCCATAACTTATCGGGAACGTTACGACAGCGAGGTCGGTCCGACGCAAGGAGGGACGCTTCGTCGCGCGACGCATTGGCGACATTTTGTTTGCCGCCACGGCACTCGTTTGACGCTCCGCTCCTCCACGAGCTTCAGTCGAAAAGACCCCCCCGCGCCGTTATTGTCTTCGTCTTCGTCTTCGTCTTCGTCCTCGGCCACAGCGATGCGCAACGTTGGCAAAGGGCGAACCGCCCTTCCGGCGCGTCTCGAATTTCCTTCTGTATCCTCCTTGAATATCTTTCCCGTCACGTGCGCACTACCCTCTCGCGGTAGTTCATTGCTTTGTTAATTTGTTTTCTTAAACGGCGTAAACTACCAGATCCTCTGCGCGTTTCAAGTTTCAATTATATACGCGACATGCGATGTCTAATCCTTGAATCGAAAGATGAAAACTTTGTACAAAACACGTACTTTGGCACGGCATACTTTGGTACTTTGTACGTTGTTTTCCCTAAGGTATATTTGTTATATATTATACTTTTTAAGAGAGGGGATAATAAGATATAAAAGTATTATCGAGTTGTATCCTGCAATTGAAATTTAAAGAAATATGCATTTAAAATATATAAGAATTTGTTTCTTTTAATATAAAAAAATTAGTTTTATTATTATTGATATTATGAACTAAAAGTATGTAAAATCTTACTAAATTGATGTACGATTAAAGCGTGATGTTTTTTATTTAGGAAAGTTTTGAAGTTTCAACTATTTAACTATAAAAAGTTAACATATTTTATCATAAAAATTAATGCATATGAATAATAAAAGATATTTAAAATTTTAATAATTTCTTGATAATTTCTTGATAAAATATCTTGATAACCGTAGTTCTTTTTTCTATTTTTAATGCAATGATTTATTTTCCATTACAATTAACAATGTAATGTGTATAAACAAGAAATAATTTTTTACATCCACGAAAAGTATTCTTGTAAATATATATGAAGAAGTAAACTCGAAATATCCAACTTATTTACATTTACTATTTTAATCACGAATTATTGTAAAAATTATCTGTTTAATATTTAACTTAATATTTTTGTTGTCATTACTATTATTAATTTAATGTTTACCTCTATTAAAATATTTATAAACGTTTATTAGTGAGAGATAAAATTAAGAATTGAATCTATTAAGACACTCATTGCGATTTCACTGAAATTCGACACATCTTTGATGTAAACGTCAAACTTATTGTGTTTCAGATAGTGGAAGATGATCGTTTGCCAAAAGTTCTGTGTTATCGATGCATGTATAATTTGGAAAATTTTTATGACTTTAGAACTGCGTGTGTCAACGCAGCTGCTTGGTTGGAAAGAAATAGGCCGAAGGAAGGTGTAAGTGTCTGAATAGTATATTTTAATCTGCAAATTTTTATCTTCCAATTTTTATTAATAAAATTTACTGAGTAAGCTGAAATGTACTTAAGTAATATATCATCAATCTTTCTCGAGAGATTGATTGAGAGTAAATAAATTTATATCCGATATATCCTTTTATTTAATTTGAAAATTATATTAAAATTATATTAAATATTTTACTTTAAAAGAGAATATGTACGTATATATGTTCTAAATTACATTATATAATCTGATAATTATTTTTTATATAGTGTTTCGATGGAAAACTCTTTAATATCTTTAATATCTTTTTAAAGAAATTTTAACGGAAGAGACAACTGTGTATTCTTTTTTATAATTATTAAAATCTTTGTAAACAGTATTATAATTCATAGATTTATAATTTTAAGAAAAGATACTGACATGTTTTGCATATATATCGTAGACGAGTAATGACGGAGCAAATGACAACGCACAATCTAGTGAGATTCACGCAGAGTTTAAAGGAAAGGAAAACATGCCAGTACTTATTCCAGAGGCACCCGTAGTCAATCCAAATGCGGCATTAGGTACACCACCGAGATTAAATTCGGATGGTGAAGCAGATCCCGAGATTGAAGAAATTCTCGATGCAAGTGAAGGTACGGACGAAGGTATGCCTGTTTTGAATTCTATTTTTCATATTTCTTTTTTCAAATAAACGTTAACATATGTTATTTTTACAAAGCTACGATGATTGATGATTACGAAGATCGACGATCAGAATATGAGATGGCATATGAGATGGACATGGAGACGAATCCTAGCGATTTTTTAGAAATGACTCCGATGGTAACCGAGGAAAATGAAGAGGATTGCGGTGCGAATAACACGAGTGCAACGACGACTCAAGATGCTGTGATTTTTCCACATACATCACAGCAACACGAAGTCTATGTCTGTTCTCTATGCCATAAAGCATTTAGTTCAAAAGGTCACTTATCGCTACATGCAAGGATTCACGGAGGTGAGGGTGACGTGATCGGCGAGAGAGTAATTACTGACGATCACACTTCGTATCAACGACCGTATCAATGTGATCTTTGTCATAAATCATATTCTACTGCGAAGCACCGCTGGGGACATGTTTCTACGACACATCGGTGAGTGAACTTTGATAATATATATTTTTTATTTATTTTACATGTAAACTGCATTGTAACATACATTCTTATAATTTTTAATAAAACTATTCTAATCAAGACAGGATGAATAAAAATTTATAACAATTAAAATAATATTAGGATATTGATAATATTAATACCATTGAGATTTTTTAATTTTTCTAAATCTATATATTAATTATATTATTTTTTAAAAACTTTTCTCTAAGAATATTTCTAAGAAGAAGATGATTCTGAAAATCAATTCTTTTTAATAATTTGTGATTTATAGCTAATACTGAAAACATGTTTAATCGATATCTTTTTTCCTCTCAGAGGACATCCTGCGGTAACGTGTGCGTACTGTTCTCGTATATACTCGACACGATATAACCTCGACGAACATATAAAATCGCGACATGCTGGTTTACCGCCACCTCCAGAATTATCGGTTCCTCCTTCTTGCACGGAAACTCGTTATCAATGCCAAACGTGTCCGTTGGTATATATGGATCTGGCAGATTTCAACGCACATCGTCAGATATGTATCCAAGAGCAACGTACAGATTTATTGGGGCAAACTGAAGGACAGAATAAGATTTTTGCCGACACGTCCGATATTTCGAGTGTAGATTCGGACGATGAGAACAAAGACTTTAGGAATGCTGAGGCTAAATTGGCTAAAAATCCGCAGCTAACTATATTAAAACAAGCGCTAACTAAAGGAGATAGTTTAAAAAGGAATTATGACGATGATGATTCGACATCTAATAGCAAACCGAAAAAAATAATCAAGTCAGGTAAAAATACAATTATTACAGTTATAATAGAACGAAAAAATGTTATATATAATATTAAATCACTTAATTTTAAATATATTATTATTTAGAAGAGGGCGAACCTCAGAAGAGATGGTATTGCGAAATTTGCCCACAAAGTTTTACGTCGGTAGATAGCTTAAAAGAGCACGAGATTAGGCACGATGCCGAAAAGCCATTTGTCTGTTTACTATGCCAGAAAGATTTTGTCTTAAAGTCTTCATTGGTTAGGCATATTACGTCACATCATAGTGTTGATCCTACCCCTCTCGTCGACAATGATAAGTGCCTAAAGACAATTATTTCTCAAAATTGGAATAATCAAGTGGACATTAGCGTTTATGAGCAAAACGAAATAAAGGAACCACCAGAGCTCTCATCGTCATCCGAGGTAAAAATATATTTTCTTTTTCTTATATATTATACAAATATATATTACTATAATGCGTTACGTTGTTATTCTTAAAGATAAATTTAGAGAATGATGACAAAGATTATAAAAACAATCACGAGAATATGGAAATTGAAACGGTATTTGTATGTGAGACTTGTAAAAGAGATTTTAATGATCGAGCGTCATTATGGTTGCACATACGAGCGATGCATAAGGAATATGCTGCATTTACCTGTGGCGTGTGTTTAAAAGTGTGCTTGGATAATACACAACTTCAAAATCATGTTTATATGTATCATAGAAGATCTAAGCTTTTAATATCGGAGCAAAGAAGGTATAGCCATTTATATTTTATCTATTTTTTTTTCCTCTTCTTTTTGTGAATTTGTACAACATGATTACAAATTATAATTTTTCATATTCTTTACAATCAAGTTTAATTATTGAACTAGTTGTAATGAAATATGTATATTTTATGTAAAATGTAATAAGTGTATGCATTTACAACTATAAATACAGATATAGTTGTACGATATGCGGTAGACAGCATGACTCGAGGAAAAAGCTAATCTCTCATGTCTCGATACACAACATCGATCCTGCCTATGATCCTGCAAATTTTGTACAATTAAATAGTAATTACTATAATGAGAACTTGAATGGTAACGAAGGAAACGAACAAGTATTAGAATTTGATGGAGAAGATGGTGAGAAAGTCGATTGTTACATTTGTTATAAATCTTTTCCTACTGAAGACCATCTTATACGACATCAGAGAAATGCTCACAAGGTAAGCTTTCTGAAACGCATGCTGGTTTTTCTATAAAAGTTATGACAAGTTTAAAAAACAAGGTTAAGTATATTTTATATATTTAAAAATTTTTTTTCTTTGTCGTAGTCTGACCAAATAGTTTCATTAGGAGATGCTGCAGGAAGTGCTTTGAATATCAATGGTAATGGCAACAGGACACAACATTTATTTTTCATTTGCGAAGTATGTGGTGGATCACATTCAAGTAAGTGGGAACGCTGGTTGCATATCAACAACGTGCATAACAACGAAACTTCTATTAAAGTAAGTGTAAAAAATGAAAAACGAAACTAATTCCTATCATGTCGTTTTATGCGTTTTTCTAATTTTAATTGTATCGTTCTAGTGCGATCGGGAGAATTGTGGAAAGATATTTGCGACGAAAGCGTTGCGCAATGAACACAATCAGCATCACATGTTACAAGGTTCCTCACCAAATACTTGCGAGGTATGCGGAAAATTGTGGCCTACCCGCGTCGATTATTGGAAACATGTGATGGGCGTACACGCGGATACAGTGCCTCTGATCTGCGGCGTTTGTCTCAAAGTATTTTCCGATGTTGTGCAGTTAAGCGCTCACGTAAAAGCGAAACATTGGCCACTAACCGGTGGTGATTTCTGTTGTGATATTTGCGGTAGACCATATTCCAATAAATCGAAGATGTCTCGACATAGAAAGATCCATGGCTTGGAGGCGGTGATGGATACTACGATCGATAATAGCAGCTTCAATGAAACAACTAATGAGTCTGCTAAGCCTGATCACACTAATGGCGCTTCGGAGATAGAGTTAAGTTGCGAACAGTGCCCTGAGCTTAGTTTCACGACTTTAGATAGTTTGTGTAATCATCGACGGATAACGCACGGTCTTTTCCCGTGTGATTTGTGTAATAAATGTTACGGTAGAACGTCGCATCTATGGAAACACGTGAATAGGGTACACAAAGGACACGCAGATGTGACTTGTCCTTACTGCGCAAAGACAAGTGCGTCGAGAGATCATTTGGCTGCACATATTGCTAAAATTCATAGGTTTATGCCAGTAATAGGCAAAGACAATCAGAATTGCATTGCTTCAAAATCTCTAAATATGGAGGATGGTGTCTTACATTATTGCGAGAAGTGTAACAAAGGATTTCACAAGCGTTATCTGCTCCGTCGTCACATGAAAGGCTGTCAAAATTATCGCAAAGATCCCGGTGCATTATTAACCCGTTGTCGGGCTTGTGAAAGAATATTCAAGGATCGTGCAAGTTTACAAAAACATATTGAGAATCATCACAGCACGTACACTTGCCATTTATGTAATGAAACGATTACCTCCAAGCTAGGTATCATGACACATAATCGCGTTAATCATATGGATCACCCGGATTTAACATGCGATCTTCCGAGTTGTAAGAAGCTCTTTCGTACCAAAGAAGATTTGGAATCTCATCGAAAGGATCACAAATATCACAGCAATCCAAATGTTTGTGATTTTTGTGGTGACACTGTGGAAAATAAATTGAAACTGAAGATGCACGTGTTATCGTTACATCGAAATGAGATTGGCGTGTCCTGCGGTGTCTGCCTTATTCCTATGAAGGATCCTAAAGATCTAAAAAAACACGTCGAGGCAGAGCACAGCAGTGTTCTTTCCAATCCAAACACGTGTCAAGTATGTGGAAAGCAATATGCATCCAAATGGAAGGCCTTTGATCACACGAAGAAATGTCATGGAAAAGTTTTCCTCACATGCAAACAATGTCTAGCAGTTTTTACGGATGAGAACAATATACGCGATCACTATGAACATGTGCATAACGTTCCGAAAGACCAATTGTCCATTTATGAATATAGGATGGACATTGGTCCGAAGAGAGAAGGTTATGAGACTCCCGATATCACTGTGAAGGAGGAACCGGATGATTTGGAATTTGATGAGGAAATGTGCGATGAGAGTTCAAATGACTCTCGCAAACGTAGAAGATCACCAAACGACACTTACGATTGTGAGATGTGTCCCGAAATTTTCCTCAATTCGGACACTCTCGCCAAGCATTATCAGAACGTCCACAACACTGACCCCATCCGTATGTTTAAGAAATTCAAAAAGGATAAGAGTGATAGTAAACGCAAGATTAGAAACAGAAACAACTTTGAATGCAAGAATTGCAAAAAGCAGTTCTCTACCAAGAGTTTGCTCTGGAATCACTTCAACATATGTACGCGACAAAATTCAATAGGTAGATTTGACATGCCGAATAACATTCCGTCAATTCTGGAGTCTCATTTGAAGAATAATAATCAAATTCAACGAGAAGAACCGCTACCACTGACAAACGAATCTAACTTAAATATTCCCGACTTCAATCTATTTGAGGACATCAATTTGCAATTGTCGGCCCAGAAACCCGTGCCGAATCTCATGCCATTGTCGCAGATAAAGATGTCGGGTAACGGCAAATGTTCGAGGAAAGATTCTCGCAAAGTGTATGATGAATCGACCAATACCGAGTGTACGTGCGAAGTCTGTGGTAAACAATGGCCGGCCAAGAAACATTTATGGCAACATCTGATCCGTTTTCATCGCGCTGAAGCTGCTGTTACATGTGGTGTATGCTTAAAGTTGTGTAAATCTTATCAAGATCTTGCCGACCATTTGAAGGCCGAACATGCACCTGTATTGTCACCGGAGGGCAATAATTTTACTTGTAAAACATGCGGTAGATATCATAATGCGAGGAGCAAATTACTGTTGCATATGAGTATTCACATCGGAAACTTCCGGTGTCAAAAATGTCAGCAAGGTTTCGCGAGTGAGGAGAAACTCGCCGAGCATGCGACGAGCTGTAGTGGAAAATCGGAATTTGAGGATCACGCAACGGCAGATGAAGATAACGCGAAAAACGACAACGACGAGAAAGGTAGTTTAATCGCTGATGAGACATCAGTTATCGGCGAGGCAGAGGAACCAGATTTTGAATCGGAAGGCGAAAGGAGCAGGGACATTCATGATGAAGATAATTCGGAAAATAGCGAAGAAGATAATTCGGAAAACAGCGACGATTCGGATAGTGATAGTAATAGCAGTTCGAGTGAAGATGAAAATGAAAACGAGGAAGGAGGAGAAGAGGAAGAGGAAGAGGAAGAAGAGAACGAAAATGAGAACGAAAATGAGAACGACAATGAGAATGACAATGACAATGACAATGACAATGACAATGACAATGACAATGACAATGACAATGAAAATGAATCTGATACGAGAACTACTAGTAGAGCGAGCGGTGATAGTGTTTCGTGTAATTCTGATAGTGACGACGAATCGGATATGGATGAAACGGAAACGAACGCGACGGAGAAGAAAATATTACGACTGAGCGACATCAATAGATTCAGAATACATGATGGTATTCAAGAGAATATGCCTATGGAGAAGATTGCCGAGAATCAGAAAACTAATCTTATTTCTGTTACCACGGCAACCGTTGTAGAACAAACTTCCCAACATAATTTGAATAATCTTTTGATTCCCAGTGCCCCTACGAACATTGATAAATTTGAGGCATTGCATCTCGAGGAATCCACTAAAGCTGCGATAAGCGATGTAGATTTGTCTGATGATAATGATGACGATGGTGACAACGAGGAAGATGATGAAAATAATGAAAATGAAGAAGAGGATGAAGGTGAAGATGAAAGTGAAGCGGAAAGTGAAAATGAGGGTGAGGGTGAAGCTGCCGAAGAAGAGGAAGAAGAAGAGGAAGAGGAAGAAGCAGATGAAGAAGATGAAGGAGATGAAGATGAAGATGATGATGACGCCAATAATGACGCCAATAATGACGTCAATGAAGATGACGATGATGGACCGCCTGTGTTAAGTCCAATAATGCCTTTGTTACCAGAAAATGAATCTGAGGAGCACAGCAGTACAACGGATCGTACGAGGCACAAGCTTAGTCCGATGGTTCCGCTAAATATAGCTAAAGGCCTGGAGGAATGTGAGATAACCGAAATGATACCAAATGATGCTGAGAATGTATCAAATCCGACTAATTTCTTCTCTGCTAACAACAATGATCTACCCGTAACGTGGGACGAAAACTTGGATGATAACGAACTTGACAATGACGATAGCAATTCCAATATTGGAGATAGGGATGTGGAAAAAAATGAAGAATTCAATAAAGAATGCGACAAAATGGAAATGAACGAAGATGATGACTTCGAAGAGGATTCTACAGATGAAAACCTAGTAGACAATGATAGAGAGGGTAATGGAGACGATCACATGCATGAGATGCATAATTTGGACGGGACTGTGTTAATGGTGGCTAATGACGCGGAAGGTAATCAGATTTTGATAGAACAAAATGTGTTAGACATTGATAACGAAGACTCTAATGCCGAAGCGGCACAGTATATTTACCCAGAAAACACGTACGAAATCGAAGAGGAAGAAGAGGAGGATTACGTGACGCAAAATGAAACCGACATCATGCAGACGGATGAAATGCAAAGTGGTATGTCATACGTTCAAGATACGTCGGAAAATGAGGATAGTGCGGAGAGTGATATCGAGGAAAACAGTGATGTGCAGAAGTAATGGGACATGAGTGCCAAAATAGGAAGATCTAGGATAATAAAGCTGTAATAAAGTGTAAGATAATTAATACGATTTGGAATTAAGATCCTTAAGAAAGAATCGACATGTGTACCTTGAAAAACGAAACAATATTGTATAGTAGAGTAAGCTTATAGCTTATAGCTTTGGAGGATTTTTGATAGATGCATAAAAGGGAGAGACAGATTACGACTATTCACAGAAAACGTTTTGTTTTCAGTGATTTGCCAGGGGCTTTATGTTTACGACATACGTAATATTACAAGCTTCCGACTAATCATTTCAAAGGACGATACAATTTTGATTTATTAAATATTGTACTATATAACGTTATTTAGATTATTGCGAAAACAATTTACAATATCGTTTTTAGTTTAGAGATCAACGACGATCAGTTACGGAATACCATTTATTTATATCTCCATCTTTTTGACAATAATATGTTCCGACTATCTCACACTATTTGTGTTTGATGCCATTCACTATAGCAAATTGTTTATAAGTAATAGAATGCAAATTTGTAAACTTAATGATAATTTAATCTTAAGTCATCTAAAAAATAATATTCGACAAGATTGAAATCTATAAACTACGTTATATATGTACAAAAACTTAAATTTTTTTTCTCAAATTATATAGGTAATAGTTTTTTTTCTCTCTTAAAAATAATGATTTGAATTATTTAAAAGTAAAAAATTATTTTAAAAAATGTCGCGGAATAAACATCAAAAAATAAAATGCGTTGAATAAAACACATTCATTTTAATGCTATTATTTGTATACGATTATGCATGGGGACTTGAATTTTTATTTTATATCTCCAATTAAAATTTTGCGAATCAACTTCCTGTGTTTTTCTGTGTAACTTGTTTTACTAGCCAACGATGACAGAATTGAATTAAAACTTGAACTATCGAAAATAAAGAAATCGGATATATTATAACAGAACCAATCAATACTAGTTACGTTTTTTGTCGAAACGTATTTAGCATCCTATCTTTTAGGATTTTTTTTTTCTTAGCGTATCGAAGAAGAAGCGATAATCGTGCATATTCGCTATATTTTTTATGGAAGTGAAGAAAGAAAGAAAGAAATAAAAGTTAATGTGAATAATAGCTTTAAATAATCAATCTGTACAGTTACGAAATGCGAGTGTTTGTACGTGTGCATGAATGAATGCATCGTGTATGTTGAATGATACAGATGCGACTGAAGACTTATATATTAAAGAAAGAGAGCGTACCTCTACAAAAAAATATATTGATAATTATTTGAGATTAATGCGATAATTGCTTTGTATCATATTATAATTTAACCGTCTTGCAGATTTTCTCAATTGTTCAGTCGAATTTTCGAATTGAGAATCGAATATCAACGGGAGAAAGAGTAGTTATAGGATCGTTGTATTACGTTTAGATCTTTTTTTTTTTAAATCTCGCAGTTTTTTTATGAGCGTGTAGAGACGAAAAATTAGACAAATAAATGATTTTTAGAGATAGACAGCGTTTATCTATATCGATTTATAATATAGCGATCTCTTTTTTTCTTATTTATTATTCCATTCCAAAGTAATTTCTAAGATACATTAGACTTTACGACAGATAACTACTGATTTGCCATGCGTATTATACGATTATATGTCATCTACTTGATGTTGCAGAGAGAAGTTAAAATTCGAATGTTGACGGTCATTTAGAAGAACATCATTCAAATATTATTGTAAATATG